ACGTCAAGAGTTCCAAGGATAGAATCTGAACACAAAAGAAAATGTTTTTAAAAATGCATAAATTACATTGACTTGTTCAATTTTTTTTTAAAAAAGCAATTGCCATTATAACTTTACCAAATAACTCATTAATTCTCTATGGAAGTCATATTCTATCTGTCATGCTAAAGATTTTCACATCTGTATTTGTATAGCTTGGAAACAGCTATGCAGGATGGAGCCATTTATGCGTCAGGATCCATGAACTATGTAGGATTGTCCTATGATCGATAACCTTGTGGATCAGAAGATGAAGTCTAGTATCCTCTGTTTGTTTCTCCTGTAATCAATGCTGTCTCTAAACATTGTGCCAGGCTGTGTGTATATAGGCACTTCCCTACTTTTTCTGTTAAAATGGTCCCCCCCCCCCCCGTTTAAAAAGGATTCTTTGCAGGAAGACTTTCAGAGAATTATTAGATGGAAACCCCCTTTTACTAATATTTTCAAAAAGATGTCAGACAAGAAACATCTATACAGGTAGTCCTTAACTTAAAACCACAATGGACACAAAAATTTCCATTGCTAAGCCAGGTGGTTTTTAAGTGAATCGTGCCTGATTTTATGACCTTTTTTGCCACAGTTAAGCGAATCACATGGTTGCTAAGCAAATCCAGATTCCCTCATGGAATTTATCGGAAGCTGCTGGGAAGGTCACAAATGGCAATCACATGATGCTGAGACTGCAACCATCCTAAATATATGCTGGTTGCCAAGTGCTCAAATTTTGGTCATGTGACTGGGGAGGGCACAATGGGTATTAGAGCAAGGACAGGTTGTCACTTTTTTTCAGCACCATTGAGCAGTCATTAAATGAATGATCATAATAGGTAGTCCTCAATGTACGACCACAATTGAGCCCCAAATTTCTGTTGCTAAGTGAAACATTTGTTAAGTGAATTTTGACCCATTTTACAATCTTTCTTGCATCACTTGTTAAGTGAATGACTGCAGTTGATAAGTTAGTAACCCCGTTGTTAAGTGAATCTGGCTTCCCCATTATCAGAAAGTCACAAAAGATGATCACATGATCTTGGGACACAGCAAAGGTCATAAATATGAATCATTTGCCAAGCATCTGAATTTTGATCACATGATCATGGGGATGCTACAAAGGACATAACTGAAAAACTCAATCACATTTTTCACTGCCATTGTAACTGTGAACAGTCACTGAATGAATTGTAAGTGAAGGACTACCTGTAGAAAACTGAAATACATGGTGAAATATTTTAGTCTACATTCTACAACACGAGGCCATCCAGTCACCAGTCCTGTATCTCTCCAAGTGCTTAATCAATTCTCTTTACCAGGAGAGTTGGATAGATGAAATGGAAAGAGGAAGAGTGGGTTATTGTTGGTCTTTGTGTAATTATTTGTCTATGCTATATTTTATTTTAGAAACAATCACTATTGGGTATACCAAAATGATTGGAGAATGCACTGATCAGTGAATTGAATAGTTTTGGATGGGTCATGTTCAGACAGAAATGGGACTGTTCTCTTCGGTGTATAGACTAACATGTTCATGTTAGGGAAGGTTGCAAGCCAGAGGGTTGTATTGTTTACTGTTTTGGGATATTGGCAGACAGAGTGGAGGAAACATGTTTGGTGCTGGAAATTTTGAGATGGATGGGCGAGTCAGATGTCAATCTTCATGTCAGACACACCAATAAATCTCAGGTCTTCAGATACTGAACACCATGGTTAGGAATCTGCTTAATGCAGAAACTCTTGACATGACATGGCTTTATTGCAAATAAGAATGAATCTATATCAGTGGTGGCAAACCAATGGCATGGGTGCCAGAAGCGGCACTCAGAGCCCTCTCTGTGGGCACGCGCGCCGTCGCCCCAGTCCTAGGCCTTCAGCTGGGTTTTATAAAACCTTTTCGCTTTAGGCCTCCACCGCCGTGTGCAAAAAAAAAAAAGGTTCAATCAATGAGTCAATTTCAACTCGCGGGAAAAAAAAAGATCTTGCAAAGTTGGAATTGATTGATTGAACTTTTTAGTCCCATCCAGTCTGCCGTTATCACCGCAGCCATGCCCAGCCAATGCATAAATGGGTTTGGGGTTGCAGTTTGGGCACTCGGTCTCTAAAAGGTTCGCCATCACTGATCTATATATATAGTATATGCCCACTGCAGTATGCAGAAATGAAAGCACTCTGCTTGAAACTCTAGATCTCCATTGCAAGTCTAGATAATTCTGGCTGTTTTCTTCACAATTTTCAGATTTGGAAGCATCTGTTCAGTGGGGTCACAGGAGTTCTTTCTATGCTGATTCTTGCGTTGCCAGCTTCATTCTTTACAATCTGCTGTGCTGGGAGCTGTTGAGGGGAAAGAGGAACTGACACATGCCAGCCTTATTTTACTCCCCACATAAAAGTATTCTGGGATTACTTTTGTTTCATCTTAAACCCCATAACAACAAAAGCTGTTCTGGATTATGTTTTGCTGAAACAAGGGCCATCTAGAATGGTTTGACAAGACATATGGAATATATTTGTTTGCTTTTAGTCCCTATATCCTGCAGCTTTTCTGTTCTTGAAAAAAACTAGAAGTCTTGTCCAATTGAAAATGAAGAGAAATTAGAGAAGGTAAGAAGTATGTTGCCAATAATCCTAAAACATTTAAATAGATCAAAAGCAAGTAACTTACAAGAAAATCAGTTAGATGTTAGAAGATAAGAAAACTAAAACAGGAAGAAGATGAGGTTGAAGAGAAGCTTGAGTTAATTATTTCTTTGCAGAAATTGTTGGATCTGAATTTCTATTTTTAGAAATAGAGTTTCTAAAACTGAATTTCTATTTTTAGAAAACGAGTGAGAAAACAAGAGGAAGAGTAGTGATGAGAAGCAAAATTCTCACTCTTACTTACAAATTGAAAACAAATCCACAGGAATAATGTATCATTAAGAATTCAAAAGCGACATTCTTATTACCCTAACTAAATGATTATTCTAGATTTGATGTTTACATACAAGTATAAGGAATGGTACAGACTAATGGCACTCTTTTAAAGGGAATTAAGTAGACTCTACTGGCTGTTATGCTATCTCTTTTAGAAAAAGCATATAAGCATGTGTATATAAGGAAGAAAGAGAAAAAAGAGATTTTGTGGAAGAAAATAAATAATATGGAGAAGGCATTTCTTTGTACAACTATTTTCAGTTCCAAATCCCTCAGAAATCATTTTGAATCCAACCTTCATCTTCGCTTTTGCTGACTTTAGAATGTAGAGAACACATCAATACACCACAATGCAATTAGTGCCTTTTCCTTTAGCTTACTAAGAGTATTCGAGAGAGTGCAAAGGGTATCATCAACAACCATCCCATTTCCTCAGCTGTCTGGTTGCAGAATGACAAATAACCTTTGAGCTTCAGCTTCACATAAAAAATACATTCTCCCCGTTTGTGTTTTTCAGTACATATATTTATCTCCATTTTGTGGAGATTTGCTACTGTGGGCAGCTATATGAAGGAATGTTGATTAAAAACATAAAAGCATTGAACTTTCTTCAGAGTTTCTCATGTGTTTTACTGCCATTCCTCTATTACATTTTAAAATCATCTATGGGGTGCAATAATCATAATGCTGGCAATTTTGGGTACTTTCCCAAGTAGTAGCGGGACTTGGACAGTCAAGAAAAAAAAGTTCTAAAATATATTTTAAACATAAAGGAAGAGACCAACTCCAGGAACAGGGATAGGGTAGAGGAATACGTTACGACTGGCTTGAATTCAGGAGACAGATGCAAAAACAGAATCTCTGTTAGGTTTGTAGTGATGTAACAATTTGAAGAATACAGTGCCAGTTTTTCAATAATTTCAAGAAAAACAGAGCAGAATCAGAAATACCTTGACTCATTTTCCCAAACTAGATGATGGTATGAAATCAGCTAGGTCTGGAGCTGGTCCTGAAGTAGTACAAGTTCTTAGTGTGACAGTGCCCTAGAACTACGTATACAATTCCCTTAATGGTGAAGGAAGGAGATAACTATTTATTTATTAGAATTATATACATACAGTATATACTAATACAACTGACCAAATAAGATTGAGAAAGAGAATTTGTGGTCCTCAAGATATATGTGAAGCACAATTAATTGCACCCCACATTATTGCCAGATAAGTAGACAATAGTCATTGATTGCTTTCCTGTGAATAACTTAATCATGGTTTATTTAATTCAAAGTTCCAAAATATATTGAATACTAGATTAAAATATGTATGGCTCATTTGTATAGCTGTTTTGGGGGCATTAAGAAAGATGAAGTAAAATGCAAGGACAATATGATAATGCCTTTAAGAAAAGTTATGGGATGAATTCTTTTAGAATATTGTGCATTATTCTTTAAAATAGAATTGTTCTACTGAAAAAGGCCCTTAAAAGAGTAGCTAACATTATTGAAAGGTCAGAGCATCTTTTTTTTCCCTCAGAAAATATTATGTTTGAAGATTTACGACTGAGAAATAAAAGGTTAACATGATACACAAGGAGCCCAAATATATCTGGAAAAATCAGGAAATTCAGAAGGGATAAAACTTGTTTTTTAATTACTACTATTTGTGGTAGCAATTTTCTTTTTTTAAAAAAACAAAAACAAAAAATGAGGTGGAGAATTACTACCACAAATGCAGTAATTGCCATGAACATGCTTTGAAAAAAGATTATAAAAATGTGGAGATTAAAAATATTAACTAATCATGATGAGTCCACTTCCTATGTCAAATACAGAATTATCTCTTCATGTTAATTTCTGAAGTACATAAACATGTCTTTAGGCCATGATATCTTTGCTGGAACACTTCCTATAGACATTAGATGGATCACTCTAGACAACTAGTTCGGTGTCTCACTGGAGCCTGTATTACTTATCAGATTTTTTTAAACATGTTAACATGTATATATCCAATGCCCTTGCAGGCAAGGCATACAAAACAAAAATGACCAAGACTGTTTCATTCACATTTTCCTTATCCAATAGAAGTTGTTTATTATGGTTTGTGGTACGGTCAAGATATTTAGATTGGATTTGGCATTTTTATCCACATATTTCCAACTGCAGAATGTTGGTTGCCCATTTCTGAGTTATAGGAAGGGAGATTCTGCCTGAATATTACAAAAAGTTCAATAGCAGGTTCAATTAGCTGGCTGCTTCCAATTCTATAGTTCTGTGGTATGATGAGTAGGTAAAAATAACATAAAACAGATGAAGTACAGGTATCATGTCTATGGGCACATTGGGATATTTCCAAAGCGCATTGATGAATATGAGAAGGAGTATTATAAATGCAAATAAAGGTTGCTGATTTAATCTGTAGCATGCTAAATAGAATATTCTGGATTGTGTTGAGGGATTTGCAAAAGAAAGCTATAAATTATCCCACACCCAACATTTATTTAATAACGTCCCAATTTGAAGATTTGGCTGATGGTTGCAAATCAAGAGCATATTTGTGTAATGTTATCATGCTTCTGTGATAAAACCTGCTTCACAGTCCAGAAACTGATGGGATAGTTTAACCAAATCTTTTGTACATACACATAAATCCTAAGTCTGAGTAATAATTGTCTCTCTTGTATCCACCAATCAGAGAAGGTGAAGACTGTGCCAAGATGAGGCCTGGAGCTAATCATTGTCATATAAATCTACGAAAGAGTGAAAAATGAAAAAAAATCAGTTTGGATAAAACCTTCTTATCCTTATAATTAAAAACAAACCTATAGAAAAATATTTCAGTTGCCTTCATTCTTAATCATTAGAATTCCATTTTACTTATATTGTGTATCTTACCATCTGCAATATCATCATATATTTCTTCATCACTGTAAATTTAGAAAGAGAAAATATGAATTTAGTTGCTTTACATACATTAAGAATTGAGAAGAAGCATTATATAGTTTTTTTACTATTCCCCTCCCAAATATAAACATTTTAAAACTATCCTTTGACCAATCTGAGAGACAGAGAAAGATTTACTATGAAATTATTGCACTTACTCATGCACTAGGCAGCTTCTTTGGACATAGCCATCTGAAAAATCAAATCATATATACATAATTATTTTCAACTTAAACTGACATCTCAGCTAAGAGAAACTAGACAGAAGAAAACTCTAATACAAAAATACTATTTGTTATCTTTGAATTCCATCTAGATCAGGGGTAGTCAACCTTGGCTCTTTTATGACTCGTGGACTTCAACTCCCAGCTTAGCTGGCTCAGGAATTCTGGGAGTTGAAATCCACGAGTCATAAAAGAGCCAAGGTTGACTACCCCTGATCTAGATCATATGAGATATATTGGCATTTTGGTGCAATGAAGAGTAGGCTGTATGATGACAAATTGTCCATCCATGGGATAAAAAAACCAGTCAGTTCCACACATTATAGAACATTATTTTTCTTTATTTTACAGTCATGCATAGAAATCAGACAAAAGGCTTTTTCTCACATCACTTGCTCTATTTTTGAACTGGATCGAAACCAAACTCAGTGATGATCCACTAAAATCACAGAGACAAGCTGCTCTTTACCAAATATGCTTCAATTCCACCATTGCTTCCATTTCCCAACTCCACAAAAGCAGTTTGAAGATAACCCATAAACATTCATTTTTTACCAATCTCAAAACTCCGAGGAGTGAAAATCACTGCCTCACAAGTGGATTGTCACAAATCCTTCAACAAAACACACATCTTTCTTATCCTTCCTTTGTCTAGTTATCCGCATAGTGGTGCCTATGATTGGGAATTAAACACATGACAAAGCTCCCTCCTCCTTGGAAGACCTGCTAGGAAACCTCTTAAACAGGAGATGATGCCATAACTGCCTATTATGGTATGCGGAAATGACCTTGGGAAATGGGATGAAGAGCTGCAGCCGAGACAACCATCATGCAAAAAGTATCTAAGCCCACAGAAGGAAAAAGGGTGTGGGAAGTGTTTTAGAAGGGGTCCTCCCTAGTCTTCTGGAGAGTGAAAGTATAGGAAGGGAGGAATATTTAGGGCTGATGTCACACAGGGAAAACATAATGAGATCATGTTTGTAACATTTCCACTAGAGCTTCAAAGTATGTGATGTCTATGAATTCTTGCCTGATCTCATTTTCCAAAACCTGCACTTTCCTCCCCGCCCCCCGCTCCAGCTACCAAAGCCAAGATATCGTACAGGTAGTCCTTGACTTACAACTGATCGCTTAATGACTAAAGGTACAACAGATTCCCTCCCCAGCTACTTACAACCTATTTTTGAAGTTACAATAGCTGCACACATCCCTGGAGTCATGTCATCACATTTACAATAGTTTGCATTATCTCATGGTCATGTGACTGTGATTTGCAACATTTTCTGATGGTTTCTGACATTTACTTCCTTTTTCCAGCAAAAAGTACCCATTGGAGAAAATTGATTCACTTAACAACTGCCACAAAATAATATAAAAAATTGGGTTCAGTTATCTGATGCCTCAGTTTATGTCTGCAAGAACTTATGACCATAAGGGCTGAATTATGGTTGTAAGTTGAGGACTACATATAATGCCTTTCTGCCGTTGTTCTTGAAGCTGAGAAAAAGACAGCTTGGCTGATCCGTGTAATCATCCGGGGTTTTTACTTCTCATGATGAAAGCCTTATAGCTAGGAAGGAAAGGCGGGGTGCACTGACTGTCCCCTCACCATCTTTTCCGATCCCCTCCAAAACATTCAAACTGGCTTTTAAAAAAAACCTATATTGGGCTTTTTTATTATCCAGATAGCTTCTGATTTTTAGAATCAATCATCAACAGTAAAGGAGCATGCAGTCAAGAAATATATTTCAGATTAGCACTTGATAGAACATCCATGAAGACCTAGGAAAAGATATTCAAATGTGGTGAAATGTCTATAAAGATCAGAACCATGCAGACTATGATGTTGCCTATAACACTCTATGAAAGTGAAAAATTTGAAGAAGTAGAAGAAAAAGAATTTTGATGATTTGAACTTCAGTGTTGGAGAAGATGCCTAAAAATTCCATGGACAGCCAAGGAAACAAAGAAATGGATCCTCAAACAAATCAACCTACTCAAGATACAAATGACCAGGTTCAAATTATCATACTTCTCACACATTATCCAAAAATCTACTGTCTGAAGAAGGCTTAAGTGCTGGGAAAGCTGGGAGGAAAGAGAAGAAGAGCACGACCAGCAGCAAGGTAGATGGACTCAATTAAGTAGCAATGAGTGCATCACTGGAATTGCTGAAGGACCAAGTTAGGAGAGATCATCCTGGAGAAAAGCTATCTGTGTGGTCGCTAGGAGTCAAAACAACTCGATGCTACATAATTCAGCAATTAATTGTGCTTATTTGATGTAGCCTTGGAGGGTGAGTTTCTCATATGAGAAAAAAAAAATCCAAACTTCCTGTCCTCATAGATAGATTTAAAAACTGCAAGGCAAACATTCCAGGTTTGATAAAACAGTTCCCCCCTTGGCCTTTGAAACTGGAGTTCCTGTCATTCATTTTAAGGCAGAACTACTTCCCCTTAACTGAAGGATTGCAAATTCCCTGTGACCCTCATGGGGAAATGAGCTCATATCTAGGGTATTCTAATCTTCTTTTCTCTCTCATCTAAAAATAATCCTTGCTATAAGCAAAACATTTAGAGAAAATCATCAATTTTCAACCTGGAAAAGACGCTGGAGAAGGGTGGAGAGGAGAGAGGAAGGGAGAAGGGAAAAGATAAGGGGAAAGGTGAGGAGTGGACTATCTCAAAGAGAACCTAGATATGGTACTAACATTATTTCAATAAACATGTAACTAGTTTGTGACATTTCATAACAAGTTATGGTATGGCGTTGAGACTTATAATGATTTTCAGCAGAATTAAACAATCTCCCTCTTCTGTCCATCCCATTTTGCAACAATAAATCTACCTTCTCAAAACAAAAAGCTCAAATGATAATTTATTTATTTTATTTGGACAGTATGTACTGTATATTTGTTGCACTTGGCTAACCTACCAAACAAGAATTTTCATTGTTATCTTCTCTATATATAACGACTATCTCCAGAATAATTTTGTCCTTGACCATCTTCTTACTATTATACATTTTCTCTTCTTTTCCCTACTGTCAAAAACTATACATACAAAATGTTTCTCTGTCAAGACCATATGCCACATATCCAACAAAATACTGTAGTGCACAAACATCTAAACGATAATAAAATAAAATGGATTAGATTTTGAAGTGCCACAAGACAATCTGTATTTGTGAAGCATTGGATAGTAGTGATTTTCTGATATTGCTAATAATCCAAAAGAAAAGCTCTCTGCTTCAAAGATTTCAATTTCATCATAATCTGACTCCTTCCATTATGTATCAGCTGCAGAACCATCTTTAAAGGCCTCCAAACATTAACTGTATTAAAAGTCTAGTCCAGATAGAACAAAGTATGAATATGTTAAAGATACCCTTGAATGAGCTCAGCTTCTGTTGATTACAGAGATCTGTCCATGTCTATGTCTTGGCAGCCATAAAAAAAAATGGTGGTTTTTTTTCAGGATGGTTGAAGTGGGAAAATAAGAGGAAGGAGCATTAGGCATGCCACCTATAATTGTGTAAAATAAAAATGAAATATAGATCAAATAAATCAGTAAGGATTGTCCTTATTTTTTCTGCGATTAGACAAGGTTGGCTAGCTGCTGCCCTCTGCTGTAGACATAATGGGAATAAAATCAGAGAGAAATAATGTAATGAATTGTTTGCCAGATGAAATTTCAAGTACAGTAGAAGCTAACAGACGCTCACGGTTTGTAAGAGAAGATAGGGTATTCTTGTTTTTTTATTTTTCCTACAGAATGTTGAATCTGTTTTATTATCAGAAGAATGTATTCAGGGACTTTGTAGAGTTTTCTATTCATAGCCAGCTAATTCAATTCCAGGAAGTCAAAGAAAAGGCAATAACTTTTCCTTTCTTCGGAAGCATTACTTTATAGCAATGTTTTTCAAACTTGTCTTAGTATTGTGTATGTTCGCTGCCTTGAGTTATTTATAAAAATCATAAAGGCGGGATAAAAATGAAAACAAACATAAAGAACCACAGCTGATTTTGGAGGAGGTATACAACAATTCACAAAAATATGATTTAAGCCCAGGAAAAGAAGATAACAATGAAAAGAAACTTACGGGAGCTCTACATTAATTTTTTTTTACATGAGAGAGGAGTAGGGAAGACATCAGGCTTTTACGATTCTATTATTGCAACTTATATCAATGAACACTTTCACTACTTCTTTTGGAGTCTGTCCCCTGATATGACCTCAAAGGGCCCATAGCAGTGATGGTGAACCTTTTAGAGACCGAGTGCCCAAACTGCAACCCAAAACCCACTTATGCATCGTCAGGTGCCAGGTGGGTGTGGCCCATTGGCTGGGTGTGACCCATTGGCTGGGTGTGGCCCATTGGGGGTGTGTGGCCCATTGGGTGGACGTGGGTGCAGTGGTAATGGCAGACTGGGTGGGACTAAAAAGTTCAATCAATCAATTCCAACTTTGCAAGATCTTTTTTTTTTCCGCGAGAAGTTGAAATTGACTGATTGAACCTTTGTTTTATTTTGCACATGGCGGCGGAGGCCTAAAGTGAAAAGGTTTTATAAAACCCAGCTGAAGGCCTAGGACTGGGGCGATGGCACGCATGCCCACAGAGAGGGCTCTGAGTGCCGCCTCTGGCACCCGTGCCATAGGTTTGCCACCACTGGCCCATAGCATCCTGTCAATGATTTCCTTATGCTTGAGAGACAACTGGGTTATCAACAGTCTGCCATCTTCTATGTCAGCACACCACCAGGTACAACACCAGTAAATGTAGGACTTCATCCCCCCTCTCACTGCTGCAGGTTCCTTCTTTCATGATACACACTACTCCCTCCCACAGTCACAATCAAATGTGGCTATTTTTTCCCCTGAGAAATATGGAATAAAACCAGAAAGAAACCAGTTAACACAACTGGTTGATGCAACAGATGTCCATGCTTTTCCAAAACTTACACAGAAG